ATATTGGCACAGGCCTTAGAAATCTTTGTCATTATTGAAAGTTATAGTCTAATTCCCCTCTCTTTACCTTTTATTATCTCAGTCTCTCCCAACCCTATATTGTTAGGATGAATCAAAGTGAAAACCCACTTACCAATTCGCCGTAACAATATATTTATAAAGTTATAATTCAAATAAATTAAACACACAAAATTTATGATTAAAAAACCAATTATACATATTGTAAAAAAAATTGAGAAAAAATAATCATAATTATTAATTGGCTAATAAATTTTCTAAATCTAAATTTAATAGAGAATATTTGAAAGATATTAAAGAATAATATTCAAAAAAATGAGAATTTTCTGATGACTGTGAATGAACTTAAGATTTTATTGAAAATAGAGTAAGAAAAATTGATGTGGTTATTTTAGAATAGGTTATAAATCAATATCAAAAAGAATTAATATATTATTAGAATCAAATGGAAATCTAATTAAATATTATTTTTATTTGAATTTTATATTAACAAGTCTAAAGAATTAAATAGAAAAATAATTTCAAGATCTAATTAATTTTGGAAAAAGAAATACTATTCAACTGAAGCTATCAAGAATTTTGATTTTGAAAAAGCAGTAATTAATACATCATATACTTGGAATGGCATATTAAGAATAAAGAATACTTCTTTTGTTTAGTATAAAGTGACTGACAAAAAAATATAAAATAATAAACTGCTGATTCAATATAATGAAAATAAAGATTTTAGTCCTATGATTTGCTTTTTTTATCACATCAAGAGATCTCTTTAATAATATGATGGTTTGAAAAATTATATTATGAAAATGTAAAAGTAATTGTAAAAAGATAATATAATTTATGTATTATCTCTTTTCTTATTGTAATTACTAAAAATCAGTATATAGAACTGTAAATTTCACAAAGAATCTTGCAAAAGATATGATACTATTATTGAAAAACCAGTTTGTTAAGAATATATAGATAAATTTATCTTTATTTAAAAAACAAAATTTGATTATTAAATTAAATTTATTATGACTAAAACCAAACAAATAATGAAAGAGAGAAAAGAATTATAGTTATACCTATTTATAATAAGTTTTTTTTTGAAAAATTCTTCTTATTAGAATTTGTTCTTATAAAGCAATATCACTTATCAAGATTCAAGAAAATTATTTAGCAACGAAATTTCTTTATAAATTATGCATAATCTTTTCTTGTAATTAACATCACTAATTATATTAATTTATCTTTTAAATATTACTTTAATACAAAATGTAATGAATTATTCTTATATATAATTTATTTGCTATAATTATATTATTACAATTTCTAAATATTATAAACCTTCAATATTTAGCACCAGAAAAATAGCCAAATAATGCTAATTTAAAAAAGACTTTTTAAAATCAAATAATTAATTATTATAAAATAATGTAATTCAAACTTAAATCTATTATCAAATTTAATTTTTTATTACTAAAATAATAGTTATTTATTTCATTTCTCATATATAACTGGTAACAGACTTAAATATATTAAATATGCAAAAAAATAAATATTAAGCTCTGTCATTTTGAACTTTATTATATAATATCATATTGAACTTAACAGAAGAATAAATTAGAAAAGCTTCTAAAATAAATAATCATATTGAAGCTAAATTTAAAGCAATTTATCCAGAAGCAAAAACCATTTTTATAATAAATTTTAAATAAAATTATAATAACATCCATATTATAAAAATTTATATAATATATTTATTAATTATAAATTATGTTATAATATATTTAAATAGAAGAAATAAATTTCAAGTTATAAATCGCCAAATTTATTATTTTATAAAATATTAGAGAAAGCTTATATAAACTGCGTGATCAATAATACTAACTTTTTAATTCAATGGACATTAGAACTACTCCTTCTCTTTCAACAATGAATCTATAATGAAACCAGCAGCGAATCTGATAATGAAACTAGTAATGAATCTTCAGAATGCTTTTATTTTTTGGGCTGTTTAATAAAGAAGATGTGACCTGAACTGAATGAATTTGATCGTTAGCTTGAATTATCACAACAAGCTTCAAAATAATATTTTGGAGTGGTGGAGTGCGAATAAACTGAAATTTCCTATATCAGTAAAACATGTCAGAAAATGGGCATTTTCTTCTGATGCTGGAAATCATATAACCGTTAGCTGGACCCAGGATATGATTAATTAACTTGTATTTTTAAAATGTAACATGAATCAATATTTTTCCTCTCTTCAATAGATAATATAAAAATGAAAGATATATAAAATAAAAGGAGAAATAAAAATAAATATATATGCAATAAATAACGTTGTTATCGTTATATCAATTACATGTATAATTGAATAATAGTAACCATTCTTAATTGCCATTTTTGTTATTTGATTTTGACATTGTTTTTGCTTTGCTTTTTTATGCTTTCTTGTTGTTACTCTTTTTATTTATTTATTCTGTTAGTTGTGTATCCAAATATGTTCAAACGTAAAGAAAGTAATTCGAATAATCCATTTCGTAATTAAAGTTAACGTTAATATGCTTACTGAATCATGCATCGAGAATGCAAGAGAGGTATCGTGTCCAAAATAGAAAACACGTCTATCGATATCGATTTTATGATATCTGCCTTTTAAGGATTTGGGTAGTTTTCTGAATTGTTATTTTCATTGTCATGTTTGCATTGTATTTTCTAAGAATTCTAACAATTATAATTCATTGTCATGTTTGAATTTTATTTTTCTATGAATTATTAATACATGTATGATTCTCTATCAAATGATTTTAAACAAATGTATGCCCAAACATGTTTTTCAGACAAACTTATAAATATACATTCTTCACTTTCGAATTAACAAATAAAAATTTGAAATTAGTAAGGAAAATGACTTCATTCAAAAAATTTATTGGAATCGCTTTGACCATGACAATCTGTTTCTTCGCTTCGTCTGACACATTGCCCTACACGCAGCCGCACCCTAACCATAAGGTTGTCTATTGCTGTACACCGCCTCCTGGCTGGCATGGTTTATGGCAACCGTCTCCGTGCTGTCGTCCGCCGAATGAAAATTGATTTGTAATGTTTGATAAATACATTATAATTTAAGCTGTAAATATATTTATTTATAACAAATCTTTCCAAATTTTACAGAATTGAAGAAGTGCAAAGCAACTTCTGAGGAAACAAACCAAAAATATGCTATTACAAATTCAGAAATATATTAAAATTGGTGTAGGTTAACAAGATATCAAATATTAGCTGTCATATTTAGTAATTCTTAAATTAATAAAGTGATCGGTGACTCTCTTCCGTCGAGTGTACTGTACATTTGCTCGTGTTAGGAATTAAAAATAATCAGCTTACGATTGTGTGAAAGTTATGAGAAGAGTGTCAAAATTTAAGACAGTCATTACAACCAAGAGAGAAGTTTAATGTTAATTGCTTTCAAAGTGGTTGAAAATCCGCAATGGACTGGAGATGGAATTAAAAGGATCCTCATCATTTTGTTTGTGATGAATGATATGAAAGAATAAATGCATATATTTAGCTTGAAACTAACTTGTTACTATTTCGGAAACCAATTTTTTCGAACCAGTATCAATGTGTCTCAGCATCAGCATTGTTGATAAGAAAGTTTTTATTTTGTTTATAGGGGAGGAGTATATTGATTTGAGCGCATGATTTTAATGTTGCTTGAATGAAGTTATTAATGAATTCATTTCTCGGGTTATTAATAACGTGGATTTTATGTTTAGTTGCCATCAATTTTTTGGTCATTTTGAATCGATCATAAAGATGAATTTTAATAAATTATAAAAGTTCTCAAGTACGTAAATGTGTTTCGTTTCGGAAATGAAAGATTAACTAGAATCTAATATTCTCATTTACAACATAAATATCAAAATGTCCATTAATAACTATGTTTTAATTACATTTAACTTGAATAACCCTCCTTTTCACGCCGTTGCCAAGAGCTTGAGGGAAATTGATTACCATTTGTGAACAGTTTAAGAAATTATAATTTTTTGTTTAACAGTTATGTAACTTCGGATGCATATAGTTACGATATGATATTACATGTGATTTCCTAAGCACGTTATGTTATAGTCATTTTGAGAATACCAAAATCGTATGAGCCACACATACAAAATATATCGATATTTGTTTAGATATTGTAACTGAATATACTAACGCTTACAAAAAAAATTTAATTTGTATTATACATTTGATAATGTAATTGGGAACATTATCTACTTTGCAGAATAGGCATAAAACGTATTAATTGATTTGTAAAAATGACTAAAAAATTGGTAATATATGCTACTATACGTGATGTCTATTAAATTTCATTATAAAAATTTGCATGAAACGGGAATTTGATGTTCAGATGTTAACTTTTAGCGTTAATTGCTAATTTATACATGTATTGTTTTATCTTTATTAACTCATCAATTAGATTTTAAATTAATTTATTTACTGTATTTTCCCAAAAATAAACATCACATTTTATTATAGATTGCTTATTTTTGAGAGAATTTTAAAATAAATTAGATTTATCATTTAACTATTAAGTTTCAATTTCATTCTGAGTAATCTATTACATTTTTGATTCTGGATATCATATCTCACATTCTCCTATTTCCTCTATTCTTTACAATACATCTTTATAATAATATTGGATCAAAATCACCTTCTACTTGATGCATCAATACATTCCTCTGGCAAAATCTCAATGCCTTAAACTTCTATTTCTTGAACTTTTGATTTAACTAACACTCTCACGACCGTTAGCACATCACATTTTTCAATTGTTTTCACCTTATCATATATTTTCTTGCAATAATTCATCAATTTTGCCTTATTAACAAAAACGGGATCATCATTCTATAAATTCATAAAATTGAAGGCGTCTGTCTAATCATATTAATTTAGACTTTTCTTATAATATATCCATTTATATCATCCATTATTATATTCCCGCTGTTACTTTTTTAATGAACAGATTGCAAAGCATTCCTACGAATGTAAACAAAAAAGACACATCCACCCAAATGCATTTTATTCCAGTCGGATATTTAATTTCAATTCAAATAAGCTGGTAATTATGCATGAGCATACATGTATGTTGTATTTTTAAAATTAACATTTCATATTGATTTAAACTACCGTAAAACCGAAATAATGAGCATGGGCGTTATTTGGAAAATCACCCTCTAAAAATAGCATATGTAGTCTCGAAAATGCGCACCCTATGTAAACTTGGTAAATTGATTCTCTTAATACAAATTCGACACAGAATCTCAACTCTTTTTATTGTTGTCATCATTCATGAATCCGATTCTGATCGGTCAGGTTTTGCAGAAAATCAAACCTTTGTCTCGAAGTAACGCACATGCGCGTACTCGAAATAACGCACAGGTGTGCGTTATTTCGCGGTTTTACGGTACTTTGAATATTTAGATTCTACAAGTTGTTGGTATGTTCTAAATGAAGGTAAAATTACTGTTTCTTTAATAATATAATATTAACATTAAATATACGACTCTCGCGTATGTTGCTATCTAAATTTGATATTCCAAATCAACAAACACATGACCAAAGCGAAAAATGCAAAGATTTTCATATTTAAACAAACAAATGAACTGAATGAATAAACACAAAACACGAACATGTACTTTGTGAAAAATCCATGTACTCTTAAACATTTTCCGACAATCAAATTACAAGTATATGAAATTTGCCTCTTTCGTAATTTGTGCGATTTTTTCTAATAATACTGTTGGTGTTACATGTAATTAGTGATCCTGGTCGACAACAAAAAATCGACCGACCGACTATCATCAAAATTATCGACCACAGTTGGTCGGTCGATTTTTTGTACCACATTCTATATTTAGCTTTCATCTTTTTTTCAGTTTGCGTCAAATTAAAGCCACCAATAACCGTAATAACAACGGCAATGAAAACGAAAATGGAACCACTAGTGCTATTAATGGTAACAGCAATAACAACTATGTAAAATGTTATTATTTATAATATTCTTTATTACTACAAGTAAAACCTTTGCATAGACCATTCAAACCAAATGCTTTTGAATCATTTTAAAAACGTAATTGAGTAAAACTAACACGAATTTTTTTTAAAAGAACTATATTACTCTAAATCAAAATAAGGATTAAAACAGTGTTGATTTTCCTTTAAAAAAAGTAAGTCGTGAACTGTATTTGGGTGAAGACGGTTTCGCTTTTCATTAACTACATTTCCTGCATCAGAAAATAAACGCTCAGATGGAATTGAGGTTCCTGGAATAGCCAATGACCGTTGTGCTTGCCGTGCCATTAAGGGTAGAGTTAGTCGATTATCGTGCCAAAAGACTAATGGGTTGTGTTTCTTATAAAGTGGATCGGAAAGATCATGTTTTGGCATTTTGGGCATGTCAAAATAAACCTTAAGTTCAGTTTCAACAGGACACACTTGGCAAGGAGCTTCTTCAAATAGTGAATTTAATAAAGAGGGTACATGGTTTTCAGAAGCATAAGTTGTTGGATATATGTTTCTCATATCTTTTTTCATTCGATGTTGTAATTCATTCTTTGTTGTTTCGAATTTTTCAGATTCAAAACTTAGGTCTTTAAATCTTGGATCTAGCATGGCAGCAATGTATCCTTCTAATTCTGGCTCATTCCAGCATTTTCCAAAAGATAGCTCAATTTCATCACGCACCTTACGAATAATTGGATTGGTAAGAGTATGTGCTTTTCGGAATAAATGTTCTTGTAAAACTTTAATCAATGGTAACATCATTGAAAGAGTAGGATAATGGTCTCCATCCATTATTGTTGTGACATGTGCAAAAGGACCCAATAATTCGACCAATTCTTGAATTTCCAACAAATCTTCATGATTAAGAAGCAACTTTTCCATTTTTTTCGTATCATTTCTAACTTCTCTTTCTTTGTCTTTTGCTAGATTTTGCTGTAATAATTTCGTAGCTTCATAAAGATCAAGTAGTCGGCTTAGCAATAGGTAGGTTGAGTTCCACCGGGTTGTAATATCATTTGATATTGGATCTAATACTGAAATATCTTTGTTTTCTAGTAACGGATTATTTGCTTTGGCCATTTCGAGTTGTACTAATTGTAATCATTTTCGGTATTTATCTCTTCCAACAATGAAGATATTTAAGGCTTTTGCATGACTAATTAAAACAGTTGCTTCTTTTAAGTTATCCGTAACTCCAAGTTGAATAGTATGAGCCGTACACCGAATATGTAAGATTTCAAGATCTCTCATTGCTTTCACTATTGAACTAGCATTATCTGTTACACCTGCTAAATATTTGTTGCTTAAATTCCATTTTACTAGTTCTTTACGCAAACAATCTTCAATATATTTGGATATATGTGGATATGGAAAGCTTTCAATTGTAAGCAAGGTCTTGTGCATTTCAAATCCAGAAGTAAGCCAATGTATGGTAATTCCAATATAAGGTTTATGTGCTTTAGTCCACAAGTCAGTTGTAAACGCACAAATTTCCAAAGTGTTGTTAATAAGATTTTTCAAATAATTTTCTGAATAGTTTACTGCTTGGTGTAATTTTTGCTTAAAAATATCTTCACCAGGAAAAGAAACTCGTGAATCAATTTCATATAGAATGTCTTGAAAACAGGTATTTTTTAAAATATTAAAAGGTTACATGTCATCAACTATTCATGCCAGTATACGAGAAGTAATTCGATCTTGTTTTTTGTTGGATAATGGTGCTTTATACTTGGCGAATTCTTGTAAAGTTGGTTGTGAAGAATTTATCAAAGCTTGCGATTGTGTTAATAATGTGGCATGCTGAACTGAGTGAGACAAGACTGTTTGATCTTGTTTACCATTTAATGGTAATAAAGAACCATTTTTGTCAAATTGATATTCAACTCGAAGATAAGTAACCAAATTAGTTGTACTGGTCTTGAGTTCAAAAAGACATGTACATTGCTTAAGATCACTATTGATATCACTTCAAATAAGACATTTGACCTTTTTGTTAATTTTGTCTTTCTTTATATGATTTCATACCCAGCTTTTTCCTGATTTAGATCTTTTATTACTGTTGATGCTTGGTCATATATCTTGAACAAAATTAACTACTAGTTCTTCTAAAAATATGTCATGAAGTATTGGTGATGATAATGACAGTGGTAGTGGTAATGGTAGTGATAGCGGTGATAGTGGTGAATATATAGGTATTGTTCTATTATAGTTTTGTTCTGTCTTAATAATAGTTAGTGAAAAATCATCATTAGAACCATTATAATAGCAAAAATGAATAGAGTTTTGTTGGGACATTTGACAAAAATGAAATTATGTGTCAAATTTTTATATTTTTATTAATTATCATGACCTGATATATCATTTCCTTTTTTAGTATATTATAAAGAATTGACCAGCTAATTTTTTGAAAATCAACTGACTAAGTTGAAAAATCAGCCATAGTCAATTTTTTTATAATCAACCAGGAATACTAGTTATATATTTATTATTTTTTTATCTTTTTGTATCAAAACTACTTCTAATTCAAAGCTAGAAGTGTCAGTATATAGTATAAAAGATTTTTTAAAGTTTGGATAGATTAATATAAATATAATTATCAATTTATTTTTCAATTTTTCAAATACTTTTTGATATTTAAT